TCTTTACGGGAGCAAGTAGCCTACACGTTCCCTGAGGATCACTGGTGAGTGTGAACCCAACTTGTGGTTAGCTGCCTGACGCTTAATCCTCTGTGGCACTAGCACTCCTTGCAAAGCACGTAGGGTGGGGTTAAAATCAGCAGTAATGAGGCACTCACAGGGATCTGGGCAAAGGTTTCCTGCCCCAAACCTCAGCTGGCAACTAGGAGCTGTGGAGGGTCCGATTCTGTCCCACTTCGGGAGGGTCTGTGGGAAGTCCCCACAACTTGTCAGCTCTTTCCGCTCTCAGGGTCCCCTGTGCCACTGAGAGAGGAAAAGTGGTAGACGGGTCTGAGTGAAGGAGACAAGCAGCCCAAGAAAGGGAGTTTTCTGACCAGCGAGCCCATGTCCTGGAGCAGGCAAGGCCTAAAGGAGAAATTCACTGGCTCCCCAGAGCTCCTATTTTTAGTCTCCCTTTCTCTGAGAAACTCCCCTAGCAGGCTTCTCACACCCCAGGGGCAGCTCAGAAACTCACAGGCTTGTGCAGCAATGTTACATGGGTCACTATTTACACCAGCCAAAAGGTAGAAACCCCCTAAATGTCCATCAGAATGGGGAAGCAGGAGCACATTTTGGACAGTCCACCACAGTAGCAGACTGCCGGTAGGCAGTGTTATTTAACCCTGTGCATCCTGCAGGTATGCAGCAACACTCACACCCCTCCCCCATTGAACCTGGACAAATTAATAGCTGTGAGAGGAACATAGGGGTGCAAATGAGCTGTAGATGGTGTCCAGGATGCCCAAACAGCAAACGATGTACTCCCTTGCTTTAGAGACCTCCTGCCCCAGCAGGAAGTGAGGAGGGAGTTGGAAATAAAGTGATCAGGAAAGAAGGGAAAGGGGAACTGAACACTGATGTTGGAAAAACAACTGTGAAGTTGAAGGATCTGGAGCAATTTCACCAAGCCTACAAAGCTGCCTTGAGCCTCACGTTGTCTTGGCATCCTAATGCCTCCTCTCTCTCTCCTTTGGGAAGAGATAGGCTAAAGGGGGCAGGAATAGGAGGGAGTTAAGTGCTCCACATCTCAGTCTTTCTAATTGTAACTGAATTTCACTCCAAGGCTTTGCAGGTTTACTCCCTTGGTGGTCTCCAACCTAAGGACGATCTTCCAAAAGTACCCATCATCTCCCTCATTCTCCATCCTTAGTTGGGAAGGTAAGAAAGTCCAGGAAGAATAAAGGAAACAGTGTATACTGGATTTGGTTTCTGCTGGGTCCTTCCCATGGGGGGGGGGGGGGAGGTAAGGATGCATTTGGCTATGGGCTAAGGGTGCTCCCCAAGCACTTGCTTCTAGAAAGTTCCCTTCCCCTCTGACTCATCTTGATGCTTTTGGTTCTGAGAACCCATAGGAAGGCGGATCTCCTGGGAGAGGTCACAACTCTCCTCTGAGTATCTGAACCCCTCCCCCATTTCCTGTGTCCCAAGTGACTTCAAAGTCACACTTTTGGAGGTCCCCCTAGATTCACAGGGCAGGAAGAAGGCAGGGTAAGAGGGAGCATTTGGCCTAGGGAATTAACTTGAAGAGCAGTGCCTATGGTGAGTCTGGAGACTAGGGAATAATTCCTCTAGGTTTTGTGCTGGGGGTGGAACTGGGGCAGGTTGGGAGTTAAGTCTTTTAACCCTTTGTAGGTAGTGTTTCATCCCGCAGTTCAGCTCATCCAGCCCCACTAGAGCAGAGTAGGGACAAGTGTGTGCTTGTGTTGCTAGGGAGAGGAGGAGGTTGCTGAAGAGGGCAATGGTTGGACAACTTGATCAAACATAATCGGAGCCTCTCCCCTAAGCCAGCACCCTCACTTTCCCCTACCACACATTGTGTCCAAACTGGGAGCTCCTTCTGAGAGAGGTCTGTACTAGTCAGTGATGCCTGAGGGGCTGGGGAAGAGGTAAAGGTGAGAAGTAGGAGCACCCAAAGACACCTCCCTTAGGGTCGGATTCATCCCAAGCCCAGCCCAAGTCCTCCCCTGGTCCCAGGTTCCACTCACCGAGGGCACTCAGCCCCAGGAACAAAAACTGCAGGAAGGTGGCCACAGAGGGCCCAGGCAGGGGAATCCTGGCCCACCCAGACCGGGATGTAGTCATGGGTGCTGGCTGCACAGTGCAGGGACCAACAGGTACGGAGACAGCAGCTTGGCAGACCAGGAGCCAGCCAGGCCACTGAAGACTCCAGGGAGGACTCCAGCTACAATCCCTGAGTGTATGCAGGGGTTGGGGTGGTGACCCACAGGGACAAGGGGTTGGGCCATTCAAAGGGGCGGAGAGGTCGCTGTCCTCCCAGGCAGGGAGAAGCTGAGAAGCTCCAGTGACCTGACCACTAGTAAAAGGAAAGGGGGCGGGAGGGGGGGTGGCGGGGAGTGTGCGTGCATATCTTCCAATGATCAGAATTCCACAGTTTCTTCTCGGTTAGGCAGGAGGGTGGGGGGTGGTTAGTTGTGTCTTCTAGAGCTGGCCTGCAGGACAGTAAGATAAATGGACCCTTGAAAAGCCACTGGAAGCCAGTAAAAAGAGGGCCAGGAAGGGAGGGGAGTTTGGGAATTATCTGAAGGTCAAGAGGCATCCACCTTGACATTGCTAAAGGCCAGGGCTCTGGCCCAATTAACCAGCTGGGAACTTGGGGCCACATCACCTTTAGCTTACTCAGGGTGGCCTCCCTGAGCCTAGGCAGTGTGTGTGATGACGCATCTAGAAGGGTCCCAAGTGCCTTCTAGAACAACTCATTCTTCTGCCCCATCAACCACTTTCCCAGAGCCAGGGAGATGATGGGAAGTTTGGGAGAAAGAGCCTGCTGGTTCAGATCCTTGTCTGTCAAGAAAAGGTGTGTCCACACCTACTGCTGCCCAGCCTCACAGCATCTAGACCAGCGGTGGTTCTCAACCTGTGGGTCGAACAACCCTTTCACAGGGGTTGCCAGATTCATAACAGAAACGAAATGGCAGTTATGAAGTAGTACCTAAAATAATTTTATGTTTGGCGTGGAGAGGAGGGTTCACCACAACATAAGGAACTGTATTAAAGGGTTGTAGCATTAGGAAGGTTGAGCAACATTGAGCTAGACTAAACATTTGAGCATAACAGGATGGTCCCTTGAACAAGGGCCATGTCCACCTGTGGGTCGGAGAAGGGAGGCGTTGTCTTTCCAGTTCTCTGTATCCCCTCCCATCTTTTCCAATCCTTAGGATAGAACAGAATTCCTCGCAGGGTTTTCAAGGCTGTAACTCTCTACAGAAGCGGGCTCCTCCACACCCCTGCCTAGCAACTGTTGGTAGGTTCCAGGGGTGCTTAACCAAAGCAGCCATGGCTTCTCAGGGCTCTCTGTGGTTCTCCTAAAGCCCAAACTAAGGATTTCCCTAGCTTGGTGCCTGTTTCCACAAGCAGGAAACAAGAATGGCCAAGGATTGGAGCAGGAAACTGAAGTAATGCTCCTGGCTCTGCCCTTCAAGGGGAAAAAAATGCTTAGAGGGGAGGTGTGGGGAAGGACAGACTGGTCAGTTTCTCAATTTCTCCTTTATCCACAGAATCTTCGCTGCCTGTCATCCCAGCAATAAACCTCAAACTAGCTCTTATCCATTAAGTGTGGAATTAGACCTTGTTTGCCTCAAATTTAATTTAACCACGTCCCGCCCACCCCCGCCATTCTGTTAAAAGGCAAGTTTGTGCCCTCTGGTGGCCACTGTCCCTTAAAAAACTTCACGCCACCTGTTCTTGTTTCTTTGCACACTCCACTACTTTCCACCACCACCACTACCCCTCCGCGCCCATCCAAAAAAACACCCCAACACTGCACGATGTATTAGAGATCCTGGCATAGATTAAGAACCGAGCAAAGGACAAATAACAACAAATTCGTGCCGCTCCCCACTGTGGCTTGCATCTTAGCCCAGGAATGGAAGCCAGGCCTCCTGGATGCCATTTGATCCCCACGGTTCTGCTCTCCTTACTATGGTCTTTGTGCCTACAGAGGCCCATAGACCCTGTCAGCAGAGGGTCTTTTGTGACTTGTGACTTGCCAGGATACTCTTCAAATACCCGCCACTCTGAGCAACGCCTATGCCAGTACTAGACCCCTCAAGTACCTCCTGGAATCCAAACCTTGACAGCTCAGCACCAAGAAAGGCAACCAGAGGAAACAATAGCCAGGCCCTGCCAATCTGGACTTCCCACGTAGACTGGAGATATGGGACGATGGTTGTTGTTTTCATTTTAACTGCTTTTTCACATTCTGATTTTTCTTAGCGTTGGTTATAATGCAAACCACTTGTAAACACCCTTTAGCACCTAGACTACCAGTAGTTCTGAAAACCAAATTAAACTCACTTCCGTGGAATAGATTCTGACTCACAGTGACCCTAAAGGGCAGAATAGAACTGCTCCTGTGGGTGTCAGAGACTGTAATTCTTTACAGGACTGGAAAAGCCTCATTTTTCCTCTGTGGGGCAGCTGGTAGTTTCGCACTGTGGAGCTTGAGGTTAGCAGAGCTACACGTAATCACTACACTAGCAGGGGTGCTATGTAGGCTACTTAAGTCATTCCAAATAAGTAACTGTTTCCGAGAAAGGCAGCATACTCTTTTGTGTGTGACCGAGGTGTGGGGTTATAAAGAGACTTTCCCCAGCTTTGTCTCCCCCAAAGACATGCCAAACATTAGGGGCTTTTTGCTAGCATATGGGGAGAGGTCAGATGCATAGAGACATCCTCCCTGGAGGCAAGTCAGTCACCAAACTAGGATAGGCCCTGCTCCCTGATGTTAAGGACAATGGGCTGCTTCCTTAGATTTGGTTCCTGTAGGTGGAGTTTAGACCCTACTGATAATGCTGCCAGGGAACAAGCCAAACCAGCTCTGTGACATCCAAAGTTAAGCTGCCATCATGAATCTAGGATCTGCCCATCTTGTCATGTATACCCCCAATCCCTCCTCTTCCTATTGTGTGTATGTCCCTAGATTGTCCCCCTTTCATTGCTGTATAACCCACAGTGCCACCCCTTCCTTTGACATATGTCTTTACCTGTAATTAGTGGGCTTGCACTCCCCACCTAAGATATATAGGCCTGGGTTAGCAATAAAGATCTCTCTCTCGGCTCCTCCCTTGGCCTCTCATCAGCTCCCCCTCTCCTCTCCTGTCCTTGCTCCTTTGTTCCCTTTCCCCTTGTCCTCCTTCCCTTCCCCCTTTCTCCACATAGACCACCAAGCTGAGGTGAGCGTTGCTATCATGAAATGTGTCTAACTCCATTATTTCAATATCTCTTCTATCTCTCATGCTCCTGATGGTTTTATTATAATATATATATGTATATCTCAATCGTACAATTGTGCCTATAGAACGGGTGATTAGTGGTGGGGGGCTGGCACCCCTTCCAACCCTGCCAAGGTGTCTAATTATACTGTGTTCATCCCTTTCAAATGCATTTGTAGCTAACTTTTCCTTTAGAATTCAAATAATTGGTAGCATGAACAATAGAGCTGTAACTAAAGGAATGTAGCCAGCCAATGCCTTTATGTGACAGTCTGCCCATTTCTTTCTTTGCCCTAACCCCAAAATAATTTTGCTCGGTAGCTAACCATCTCATTCTCCTGACCTGACAAGTGGTAAGTTAGCTAAGTGGACCATTACTTTCTGAAAGTTTTTGACAAATTCTGTGATGTTCCCCTTCCCAACACAATCACTGAAGACAAAATGGATGCATAGGCAAATGTGGTGAGGAAAGCTAATGGTGTCCGGTTATTAAAAGATATAGCATGTGGAGACTTAAAGGCTTGAAGTTAAACAAGCAGCCATCTAACAGGGAAAAACAAAGCCCACATGGAAAAAGCACACCAGACTGTGCGATCAGGAGGTATTGGTAGAATCGGGTATCAGAAGACCCAAATCAATCATATCAATGCAAACGAGAGGGGGGTGGTCAGAGTAGAGACCCAAAGCCCATCTGTAGACATTGGACATGCCCTCACAGAAGGGTCACAAGGAAGGGATGAGTCAGTCAGTGGACAGTAGAGCACTGAGGAAACATACAACATTCCTCTAGAAATTTAATGCTTTCTCCCCCTACTATCATGACCCCCACTTCTACCTTACAAAATCGCCCAGACTGGAGCGTGTATACTGTTACTGATAAGAGCTCTTGACACACAGACTTAAGGACAGATACCCCCCAGGTACAATAATGGGAGTGACCATACCATGAGGGTAGGGGGAAGGTTGGGGCAGAAGTGGGAGAAAGGAAGAGTACTCTAAATGATCAACGGATAATATGGGTGAAGGGAGACAGCATGTGGCATAAGATATAATAATAATTTATAAATTATCAAGGAGTCACGAGGGAGGGGGAGGGAAGAAAAAAATAGGAGCTGATACCAAGGGCTTAAGTAAAACGAAAATGGTTTGATCATGATGATGGCAACATACGTACAAATGCGCTTGATACAACTGATGTATGGATTGTTAGAAGAGGTGTAAGAGTCCCCAATAAAATGATTTGTGAAAATAAATTTGGAAAGTTTTTGCCAAGATGCATACTGGGATAGGCATTGCTGTCTAGCCTTTGGTGAAATTAGAAAGTTGGCGCCGATTATCTATGAGTGGCCAGAGTACCACTTACATGAATATGCTGTGTTCCGGAGCTACATTGGTAATTTAATGTTAGACACTTAAAGGGCATTCGTGTGTTTTGTTTTCTCTCCAAATTACTTGTATTTCTAAATGTCTTTCTAATACTCATTATTATATTTGAATATTCATGCATTCAGTAGAAGACGTGGAAGGGATATCATTGCTGATGTCAGATGGATCTTGGTTGACAGCAGAGGTTTTTTTAATTGAGTAGGCTAAGGCATATGACGGTGTGGATCTTATAAACTATGGATAGCCTTGATAAGAATGGGAATTCCAGAACACTTCATTGTGCTCACACTGAATCTACACATGGATCAAGAAGCAGTTGTGTGAACACAGTAAGGGACTACTGCAGGGTTTAAAGTCAGGAAAGATGTAAGTCAGTGTTACATCCTCTCACCATGTTTATTCAATCCGCATGTAGAGCAAATAATCAGGCAAGCTGGCTTATATGAGGAAGAATGTGGATTGGAGGAAGGCTTATTGATACCCTA